AGATCTAAAATCGAACTCTTCAGTTCCCCCCTTGCCTTCCACAATGCCTGATCTAAATTCCAACTCTTTATTTAAATTTCCCCCTTGCCTTCCACCATGCCATGATCTAAAATCTAACTTAAAACTTCCCCCGCTTGCCTTCCACAATGCCATGATCTAAATTCCAACTCGTTATTTCAATTTCATCCCCCTACCTTCCACAATGCCATGATCCAAAATCTAACTCTTTATTTAAATTTTCCCCTCCTTGCCTTCGACAATGCCATGATCTAAATTCTAACTTTTATTTAAACTTCCCCCCTTGCCTTCCACAATACCATGATCTGAAATCTGATTCTCTTGCCTTCCACACGACTGCCCCCCAAATTGAGGCCCATTTCTAGCCCTTCAAGACAACTCATATTTTGGTCGCGTTCATTTGGGCCTCTCTAGAAGGTATCTGTGTGTAAAAGCATCTGTATGTAAAAGCTTTTGTGTGTAAAAGCCTCTGTGTATAAAAATGTCTGTGGGTAAAAATATTTATATGTAAAAACCTCTGTGTATAAAAACCTCTGTGTGTAAAAATCTCTGTGTGCAAAAATTTCTGTCCGTAAAACAAATTGCATGAGAAAAAAATTATGAAATATATAATATAAATTATTATTCTATATTTAAAATATATTTTCTTAATATTATATTTTAAATATATTATCTTATAATATAGTATCTCCATACTAAGAATATAAGATACTGCTCCTCTACGTTCTCGGGCCATCCGTTATCTAATTTGATAAATTTAAATTTATTAAAAAAAAAAAAATATTTGCAGAATTTTTATTGAAAAATCAAAATTATCATATTTTTGGATAAGAATATGGGTGTTTGAAATATTTCCAGATTTTTTAATTATTTAAATATATTTGAAGAAATAAATTATATCATAATATATATATTTTTAGAATTAACATGCATTTTTGCGAATTTTTGTGAACATTGACATAAAGATATCAACATGTGGCATGAATGCCACTTTTTATATCAAGGAAAGAATCAAAACAATAAATGCAGAAACACTTCGCTTGTGTGGTGTAAAAGACTGAGCTCTGGGATCGACTGATTTGGTTTGTGTAAACTGTTTTGTTCCTTAAGGACGACGTCCTTGCCGCTGACCCAGGTAGGTCTAGAGATTTCGAAGATTGGTGCCTTCTAGATGAATGCCAATATCAATCATTATAAAATCCAATTAAAAAATCAAATATATATATTATCTTAGAGGATCTTCTCAAATAAAAAGAATTTGAATTTTGTAGGTTTTTTGCTGAAATAAATTGGATCTTTAATTTCTCTTATATCAGGATAAGGATCACTAGAAAATACAAGAGCAAAAAAAACAAGGGCTTTAAATTCGATCAATGGGATCTATTTAAAAATTGCTATAAATATCTAATTGATTTTTAAAAAGAATTTTGAAAGCTTTCTTCTCCCATCCCAATTTTTTTTTAGTATTTTTTTATCCAGGTTGGGTTATATTTTTGTAGCGATTTTTTTTAAAATTTGTTTATAAATAATATAATTTTTGGGAAT